TTCCAAGCCTTTTATATTTTTGGATACTGAGTTTGCCCTTGCTAAGCAGGTGCTCTACTTTATTTTTTTTTGGTCTTGGGGCTTGAACTCTGGGCCTGGGCACTGTCCCTCAGCTCTTCAGCTCAAGGCAAGCCCTCTACCACTTCTGCTTCCGGCTTTTTCTGTTTATGTGGTACTGAGGAATAGAACCCAGGGCCTCATGCATAAGGCAAGCACTCTACCACTGAGTCACCTTCCCAGCCTGCAGGTGCTTTACTACTTCTTCTTCTTCTTTTTTTTTTTTTTTGCTCTACTTCTTTTTTTTTTGGTCAGTCGTGGGGCTTGAACTCTGGGCCTGGGCGCTGTCCCTCAGCTCTTCAGCTCAAAGTGAGCGCTCTACCACTTGAGCTACAGCGCCACTTCCGGTTTTCTGGTGGTTTATTGGAGATAGGAGTCTCACGGTCTCTCCTGCCCCGGCTGGCTTTGAACCGCGATCCTCAAATCTCAGCCTCCTGAATAGCTAGGATTACAGGCATGAGCCATTGGTGCCCGGCTATTTTAAAACCTATTTTATTTTTGTTGTGTATCATAGGGCTTGAACCCAGGGCTTGGGCCTGGTTTTCCACTGAAGGCTAGCACTCTACCACTTTGACCCACAGAGCCCTTCTGGTTTTTGAGTGGTTAATTGGAGATAAGAATTTCCTGGGGACTTTTCCTCCCCAGTTGACTTTGAACCCTTTGAACTGCATTTTTCAGATCTCAGTCTCCTGGGTAGCTAGGCTTACCCATGTGAGCCACTGGCACTCAGTCTTAAAACCTAATTTTTTAAAGAATTTTATCTAAGTAGACTATATTTCCTCAATTTTTGGAAGAATTGACTCTAATTCCATCTGAATTAAATTTTATTTCTAGGTATCATTACAAATAAGACTCAAGACTTCATACTTAATTTCAGAATTCCTTAAAATTTCATTTAGCCAAATTGTGTGTTCATGTTTGCAAAAGGGATACAAAAAGTTTATATTTGAAAAGATTAGTTGTGTAACTATTTAAATCTTTTCATCAGAATTATTTTTTGTTTAATGATACCTAAGTTATTACTTGTGGATATATAGATTAGTAAAGAACTAAAAGAGAAACCGAACTAACCTGGAGATTTTAGGAATCTACTTTAAAACTTTGCTTCTAGTAACAAGAATTTCATGATTTATTTGGTTCATAAAATAGTTTGGCAGGTTGTTCACTGGTATGTGCATATTCAACAATTTATATAAATCTTCAACTGATCATCTTTTGGGAGGTTATCCTCCTTTGGGAGTTCATATATTCTGAGTTGGAAGCTCTTTTGTGTATGTCTGTGTGTCTGTGTGTGTGTGTCTGTGTGTGTGTGTCTGTGTGTCTGTGTCCTGGGGCTTGAACTCTGGGCCTATGCATTGTCCCTGAGCTCTTCAGCTCAAGGCGAGCACTGTACCCCTTGAGCCCTAGAACTACTTCTGGCTTTCTGGTGGTTAATTGATAAGTCTCATGGACTTTCCTGCCCAAGCTGGCTTTGAACCATGATCCTCAGATCTCAGCCTCCTGTGTAGCTAGGATTACAGGTGTGAGCCAACAGCGTCTGGCTGAAAAATCTTCATAATGAAGGAAAAGCACACTCAGTAACTGCTACAAATAATATATTTCTTTAAAGTAATGAGGATTTAGCTTGTGAAAGCAAGAGACATTAATATTCTTATAGTAATAAGAAAAAAAAGTAGTGTTTGATTTGAATAGCTGTGTCAAAACATTGGCATCTCGGGATGGTCAATAGGCTTATGATTTTAATTTTTAAAAATTAGGACATTTAGCTGTATGATCATGACTCATGCCTATAATCCTAGCTACCTGGAGGCTGAAATCTTAAGATCCCAGTTCAGAGCCACGTGGGGCAGGAAAGCCCATTAACCTTTTATTTCCAAGTAACTACCAAAAAGCCAGGAGTGGATCTGTGGTGCAAGTAATCATCAACCTTGAGTGTAAAAAGTAAGGGACAATGCTAAGGCTCTGAGTTCAGGCCTAAATACCAGCACAAATTTAAAAAAGATATTCAGTGTGATAAAGGACACTGATACTTAAGAAATCAGTAGCACTAGCCTAGAAATTGCAAGGCACTAAAGATATCCTAGAATGGCTGCTACAATTGACTACTTCTAAACTGTTTTGAACCATTTAAACTTTAAGCAGTTCTTGACTGGAAAGTGCTAATCCAGTGTAAGCACAAACACTTCATAGATTTATTGATTATTTTATTCAGTGTTTAAAATTGTTTGCTTCTTCCAGGTATTCATATTTGTACTGCAGTGTTTACCAGATAGAACATTAAACCACAACTGAATTTGCTAGCCAGGTAAATAGTGTGCATAACGATGTAATATTAGGCATGAACTACATGTTCACAATTTTCTGTAGAGAGAATAGGCAAATTAAATAGTCTCTAAAAGGAAAACAAAGTAAATTGTAATTTTATAGAAAGTTATGCTGTGAAAGCAGTTATTTCATTTTTATTATTGTCTTGGTTCAATTTTTCATATCTAGACAAGTCTTAAATATTTTCATTTCCCTTTGCTAAGTACTTTTGAAATTTCACAACACTAGTTTATAAGATCTATAGTGAAATAACTTGTTGGGACTGTGGGTGTAGCTCAGTGGTAGAGCTCATGGTAAATACATGTTTTCCTGGGTTTGATTTCTAGTACTACCCCCCAATTCCCCCTCCCCTTTTTTTTTGTATTTCAGCTCTTATCCCCCAAAAGCAAAAATCTTGGAAGTTTTCTAATGAATAGATTTGTTTTGATTATCATTAACCATGATCAGTTTTTTTTTAACTTAGGGCCTAAAGCTCTTGCTTGGCTTTTTTGCTCATTGCTGGACCTTTACCACTTGAGCCATACATCCAGCCTGACCTTTTTACTTTCTTCATGAGCTGGCTTTGGATGTCAGTACTCCTGATCTCAGCCCTCTTGAGTGGTTAAGATGAACCACAGGCACCAAGACACTATTGTTACTGGTTTTTGAAGATTATTCATGTGTTAATGGTAGGAGCTAAAGCAGTAAGCTAACTTAGAACATGGAACATTCTGATTTTTGATAGACATAGACATTGAAAAGGGGGTCTTACTATAGAAGAATGACATGCATACATTTGAAGTTAGGTTGGGGAGGCTGCCAAAGGTAAACTGAAAATGAAAGGAAATGTTAGTTGTAAGGATTTAATTTGGGGCTTGGGCGCTGTCCTTGTGCTCTTTTTACTAAAGTCTAGTGCTCTACCACTTTGAGCCACAAAGCTACTTCTGGTTTTCTAGTGGTTCATTGGAGATCAGTCTCCTGGATTTTCCTGCCTGAGTTGGCTTTGAACCACGATCCTCAGATATCAGTCTCTTGAGTATATAACATGAGCGCCGAAACTCCAAGGAAATTCTTTATGGCTTCCTTCAATAGTAATCATACACCTCAAATTCGATAGTTTTATGAAACACTAAAATGTCCTGAAATTTTAATAGTTTGATTCCTTTCTTTAAGTTGACTATTTGTAATGTAGAAATAGCACAAAAGTTCCTAGAGGGACTATGATTTATTTTTTTAAAATGGGATTACTGTTTTCTATGGCCTATCATGGCCAAGACACAGCAGTAAAGCTAAAGTTTTTATGATTTAGCCATTCCCTCTGTGATTGGTAAAAATCATTTCTGAATGTTTAAGGATCTAACATTTATATTTCAGTCTTGTCTCCCCATAATTCCTCTCTTCTCACTTAGTATATTAGTCCTTACAGTCTAGTTTTTATTTTCATGTGTTTGTCTATTCTCATAAACTTGCAGATTCATATAGTATGTATACATTCCGTTATTATAGAAATTGTGTGCCAAAAATATGAGAATTTGTAGCACTTAAAGTTAATACTTAAAAGTTGTCCTTGCTACTAAAACCAGCTCAGCAGTTTTTCTCTGTGGAAAAAAAAATTACTTCAGACATGTAGCCAAGTTATTGATTGTTGTGCCAACCTCTCATTAGGATAATGGGAATATAGAGTTCTACCCGCAGGGAACTAACCCACCTCACCTAGTCACTAATTAAGGTTATAAAGCTATTAGTTCTAATTTGTGTACTACTGCTTTATCATTTAAGAAAAAGCCATAAGGATAGTGACTTGACCAAGGACACACAGCTAATAACTGGTACTGACAAAAACTGGCATTAGATCGTTTTCTAATTCTTTATCAAAAAATGTTATATAGGATTTTATATATGAAAGTAATACTAAATAGATCTGCAATGAGTACTAGGTATGATTAGTAAGAAATAAATTGTATCAACGTGAAAGACTTTGAAATTTAGGAATTTTAACTTACCTTGGAGTTCATAGTATTCATGACCCTAAAGAGATATGAAGCATTTTGAAAGTTGATTAGGAAATTATAGAACTAGGCATTCATTCTTGTACTAGAAACATTTCCTCATAACAATCTAAATTTTATAATTAGTTAGGTTTAATTAACTTAACTGACCTAAACTGTTTTTTACCTCTTTAGTAGTCTTAGATAATGGTGATTTGTCCACTGTATGTATCTACCAATTAGATTTTTAAACTCAATGAGAAGAGACCACTGCTTTCCTGTCAGAGATAAAGCAGACTAACTTGATTCCTATAAATGAAAGTTTCTTTTTCCAAACAAAAGAATAGCCTTTTATTTTCATTTTAAAATATCTTAATTCAACTGTCCTCAGTTTATATTTGAAAAGAATTACCAATGAAATACTGCTGATCCTCAGTCAGATGTGTTTCATTTTCCTTATAATTGTGTAGTGACTGTGCCACACATTTTACTCAATTTCTTTGGATATTTGGTATTATGAACATCTTAATTCTAAATGCATAGTAACTATGCTCAGAATTACTTTAATAAAATGCATGTTGATATTTGTTTTCCTTTGATGGGGGGTTTAAATGTAAATAAAATTTAATAATGTTTTCCATCCAATTACAGGAGTCAGAAATACCATCAGAGGAGGGGTACTGTGACTTTAATAGTAGGCCAAATGAAAACTCTTATTGCTATCAACTTCTTCGACAACTAGATGAACAGAGAAAGAAAGATATTCTTTGTGATGTCAGCATTGTGGTGAGCGGGAAAATCTTTAAAGCTCATAAGAACATCCTGGTTGCAGGCAGCCGTTTCTTTAAGACTTTATATTGCGTTTCAAACAAAGAAAGCCCTAACCAAAACAATACTACCCATTTAGATATTGCTGCAGTTCAAGGTTTTTCAGTCATCTTGGACTTCTTGTATTCTGGTAATCTGGTGCTCACAAGCCAAAATGCCATTGAAGTGATGACAGTGGCCAGCTACCTTCAAATGAGTGAAGTTGTTCAAACTTGCCGAAATTTCATTAAAGATGCCTTAAATATAAGCATTAAATCAGAAGCTCCAGAGTCTGTAGTTGTGGACTATAATAATAGAAAACCAGTTAATAGAGATGGTCTGTCTTCATCACGGGATCAAAAAATTGCCAGCTTTTGGGCAACACGGAATCTTACCAATTTGGCAAGTAATATAAAAATTGAAAATGATGGTTGTAATGTCGACGAGGGCCAAATAGAAAACTACCAAATGAATGACAGTAATTGGGTCCAGGATGGTTCTCCTGAATTGGCTGAAAATGAATCTCAAGGCCAAACAAAAGTGTTTATTTGGAATAATATGGGCTCCCAGGGAATTCAAGAGACTGGCAAAACAAGGAGGAAAAACCAGACTACAAAGAGATTTATTTATAATATACCACCTAATAATGAAACAAATTTGGAAGATTGCTCAGTGATGCAGCCACCTGTTGCCTATCCAGAAGAAAATAAGACCCTAATCATCAAGGAAGAACCAGGTAAATATATATATATATATATACAGTGCTATCTCTATTTTCGTTCTAAGTCTAGTTAGATAAATCTTGAAATAGTAGGCTTTTAATATTTAAAATTGTTATTATAAAGGTGATATACAGAGGGGTTAGTTACATAAGTCAGGTAAAGGATACATTTCTCTTTCCTTTCTTTCTTCCTTTCTTTCCTTTCTTTCCCTCTCTCCCTCCCTCCCTCCCTCTTTCTCTCTCTCCTTCCTTCCTTCCTTCCTTCATTCCTTCCTTCCTTCCTTCCTTCCTTCCTTCCTTCCTTCCTTCCTTCCTTCCTTCCTTCCTTCCTTCCTTCCTTCCTTTCTTTTCTTTCTTTTTTTTCTTTTCTTTCTTTTTGTTGTTGTCGGTTGTGGGGCTTGAACTCTGGGCCTGGGTGCTGTCCCTCAGCTCTTCAGCTCAAGGAGAGTACTCTACCACTTCCAGTTTTCTAGTGGTTTATTGGAAATAGGAGTCTCACGGTCTTACCTGCCCCGGCTGGCTTTGAACCGCAGTCCTCAGATCTCAGCCTCCTGAGTAGCTAGGATTACAGGTGTGAGCCACCAGCGCCCGCTAAGCATACATTTCTTTTTGGGCAGTGTAACCTCTTCTCTGTCTGCCAGTTTTTCCCTCCAGTCTTTACCCACAAGTTGTTTATTTTCAGCATAGTATCCTGTGAGTACCATTGCTGAAATAGTAGTAATAGGCAGTGCAACAATTAAAAGAAGAATAAAGGGGAGAAATCACAAAAATATATTTGGTATATTTTGGCTTTAGTGAGTTTTTTTAAAAAAACTTGTAATAATAACCAGGTATTGCATATACAGATACTTCTCCACATCCAGTGGTGAGCTTATGCCTCCATAAGCCTGTCATATGTAAGATCAAACTATCAATATGTAAAAAATGTACTTAATACACTTAGCCTAACTTTAATGTGCTCAGGCTAAAAAAGAACTGCAGTTGAGCAAGATTGTCTCACACTAAGTGATGAGTAACAGGAAATTTATTAAGTACTATTCTGACAGTTGAAAAGTTGTTGTACATGTATACCTTATTCACAACCGTAAGCTGGAAAATTTTCAAATTGAACCATCTGAAATAGAGCATTTCTTGTTAAGGAAATAGTCTAGTTGCATGTGTAGTTGTTTGATTTTGCTTGTTTTAGCCTCTGGCTCATAATTTTACAAGTGGCAGGAAAGATAATTTTTAGCTGTAATATAAAATCCGTACTTTATCATATTGGAACATTTCTGAGGTTTTTTTAAACATCCTTTATCCAAACATTTAAGTGTTTTATAGAATTTGGCTAATTTTGAGATTAAAAAATTAAAATAATTAAAAATTATTTAGGACTTCTGTTGTGTGCTTTACAAAGGTCTTAAAGAAACTGATATTTTAAGTTTATTCACTGGCACCATCTAATTTTCATTCATTCTCCTTTGCATTACTTTAGAGGTATCTGAGATCTTTCCCTTTACTGTATTCCTAAAGGAATATATGCAAGAATCTTAGTGTATCTCGTTCATAGGGAAGTTTTTCAAAGTGGGGTAGAGAACTACTGTTAGAGTAGAAAGAATTGAAAATTTTCTTTACCTTGAGTTTAGCTAGCTACGCCTAAAGCACTGTGGGTTTGAGGTTTCAGGGTTTGTTCAAAACTGACATATGATTTAATGCCTGCTTTGCCTCAAAGTACTGTGACTACTCAGTGTCTTATTTATATGATATTGATTATCTGAGGATACAGTACTTTTTATTGAAAAGAACTATGTTGTTTTCTGTTTCCAGAGGACGAAATACCATAGTAATTTCCATTAACTGGTTTTTGGATTTGGGCTACTTTTCACTGATAGAAATTTTACTTCTGTGAAAATTAGCATGTATGGATAGTTAGTACTATTCCCTGCTCTTTTCCTTTGTTCTTAAATTTTTAGCAATAAAATCCCTTATCTACCCTAAATAAAATATATAGGATAGATAGATAAACTCCTTAGCTGGCAATTTTTTTTGGTTATTAATAATGTAGAGTTCTCAAAAAATGAGAGCTACATTAGCTTTTGGTATTCCAAATATGGTAGAAATTCTGTTGTATTTTAAAATACATATGGACATTTGCATACATACAAATTTCTTTTAGAAAATAAGCAGCTATTGTGGGTAATGACAAAATTAATCAAAGGTATGTTCTTTAATACCATATAATATTGGAGTGACTTGAAAATCATTAATATAGAGCTATAATGTAAAGTTTCAAAAACAGCAACACTTAGTAGTAATTGTTACCAAATGTCTTAATGTCATTGTATCAATGGACCAGGCCTATGAAAATTGCTTAGTGATTAGTGTCTTTAGTTTGTCCCTTACATCTTTTACAAGCTTATTCTTATACCATGAATAGCACTTTGACACCTATACTTGCTTGACTCATAAGTTTGGTTCCATCAATGATAAAGTACATTCTGTCAAATCTTTTCACAGTTTTTTTGTTTCTCTAAATCAATATAATTCAATGGCAGAAAATAGACATTATCTTACCTAAAGAGGAGATACGTAAGGTAGGGCAACTAACCAGTCAGACCAGTATTTTTAGGTACTCCTCATAGTACAAGAAGGGGCACCTTGAATGGCAAAGACCACACCTATACAAGTTGTGGAGGTAAAAGCACTATTGTAGGCACACACAAACATTGCCAATAAGCAAGGATACACACACACATTTTTTTTTTCTTGTCCGTTGTGGGGCATAAACTCTGGGCCTGGACACTGCCCCTGCACTCTTCAGCTCAAGGTGAGTGCTCTACCACTTGAGCCACAGCACCACTTTCAGTTTTCTGGTGGTTAATTGGAGATAAGAGTCTCAGAGTTTTCCTGCCTGGACTGGCTTTGAACCACGATCCTCAGATCTCAGCCTTCTGAGTAGCTAGGATTACAGGTATGAGCCGCCAATGCAAGGACATATTTTTTTTAAGTTTTTGTCTGTCCTGGGGTTTGAACTCGGGGCCTGAGCTCTTTTGCTCAAGGCTAGTGCTCTACCATTTGGAGCCACAGCATCACTTCATGTTTTCTGGTGGTTAATTGGAGATAAGACTCTCATGGACTTTCCTGCCTGGGCTAGCTTCAAACTGTGATCCTCATATCTCAGCCTCCTAAGTAGCTAGGATTACAGGCATGAATCACAGGTGCCCAGCTTAAGGATTTACATTTTTATCAAAGCCTATGAGGAGTTACTGGATCCTGAAAACAAGAAAGGAAGATTCTTGGGATTGTTTTTCACTTTCTATGGTTTTCTTCCAGTAACAGAATATTCAGACTATGCAGCTGACTAATCAGCATTGTGAATTCTGAGCAGTCTTATTGCTAATTAGCAGCTACTAGCCTCTGAGAAATAGCTTCATAATTAAAATTGGCTTCCAATAGTTTCCTATACTTTGCCCCAAATGAATCCCAGAATAATTTGAAATATAACTCCAATAGCAGAAAAAGGAGATGTATGCATTTCCTGTGATTTTAAGAGTACAGATAATTCTGACCTCCCATTATTTCATGTCTGGGGTATAATTTTTTTTTTTTTCTGCTGGTCCTGGTGCTTGAACTCAGAACATGGATGTTGTCCAAGCTTTTTGCTCAAGGCTAGCACTCTACCACTTCAGCTATGGCTCCACTTCTGGCTTTTTTGGGTTCTTAACTGAGATAATCTCTTGGACTTTCCTGCCCAGGCCTGGCTTTGAACTGTGATCCTCATGTAGATACCTACTGAATATCAGCTAGGATTACAGACATCAGCTACCAGTGCCTGGCTCTGTAATAAAACTTAAAAAGCAAACAAAACCACTGTCAATGTAGCTCACACAGTAGAGTACCTCACAAGCCAAAAGCCCTGAGTTCCATACTCTTAATACGACAAAAAATAAGACAAACTCTCAAAAAGAAAGAAGAATATCCTATGAAAGCATTATGATTAGGAAATACTATTACATGGGGTTTGGAGGCTGACAAAGTTTTTATTTTAAAGAGCTAAAATCTAAATATTTGGCTTGGACTAAAGATAAACTACGATCAACCTTGCGGTTTAGAACATGAAAGCAATCATAGGCATATGTAGACATATGTCTATATATCGTGGTGTTTCCATACTGGGTGTTTCCAATGAAACTTGTACCAGTCTTTGGAATAGAACAGTGGTTCATGGTTTAGCTACAGGTTAAAATCATTTATAAGCATTATAAACCATAATACAAGTGTGATCACTTAGATAGGGATTCCAATTTAATTGTTATTTTATGTGGGCTGGATGTGGTTTTTTTGTTTTAAATGCTGCAAGTGATTCTACTGTGAGTCAAGGTTTGAGATTCACTAATAACAGTGAAGAGCCTAAACTGACATAATGGATTGAAAATCAGCTTCACTACTTAACCACTATGTGACCTTTTGTCAAATTGAGACTCCTATCCTCCGTTTTCTTACCTTTATTTCAGTTGTTTTTGTTATTATAAAGGCAATATGCAGATGAGTTACCATTTAAGTCTGGTAATGAGTACATTTCCTTTTGGGCAGTGTCATACCTTTTTTCACATCAGTTTTTCTCTCCCATCCCTACTCACAAGTTGTATAGTTCATTTTCAACATAATTTCTAGTGACTACCACTGCTTCATTTGTTTACTACTTTGTCCCCCTTACCATCCCAAAGACAAACAAGACAAAAAGAAAAAAAAATGTGGTGATTACTTCATAGGATTTTTAAGAAAACTATCAAAGACCTACTGTAGTGTTCTAATCTCCCTTATTAAAGTTTGGAAAGACTGTTGAGGTCATTATCAGTTTTTCCAGTGCTAAGTACTTTCTGCCAAATGCTAGATAGATGGTCTTATAGAGCTTTAGTTTGATTTTAACTACTTACAAAGATATTTGCTTAAGCAGTCTGTTTGTTAGATAGAATGACTGTGATTAGGAAGTCATTTTATCTTAAACCAAAATTGATTTCTCCATAGTATCCTCA